TATGCAGTAGTTTTATATTAGTTTAAATTGGTTACGTGGCAGATATTGCGCTCTCTTTTGCTCTTGCTGTTAATATGCTTAAATACTTGTGCTACATGACAATATAAAAGCCTTTTAAGTCCACGTGTATGAGATTTAAGGTTTGCGACTCTACTGAAGTCTGTTCTGAAAGCGTCAGTCTGACGTCCTTATGGTTTTTAATGATGCGCGTTTCACATTGACAGGTGAAAATCCCATTTACCTGCTTACACTGCAGACACAAGGGCATGGATCCGATTTATATTTGTATAAATTATCACAAATACACAAGGCCTGAATCTGATTTTAATAAATCTGAGTCCATGTGATTTGTTCCTGCTTACATGTACATTTGATCTGTGCCACATGGGAGAAAAAAAAGGTAACTGAGTGACTTGAACCATGCAGTGTAAATGCAGCCTAGTCTCAGGAGGCAATGATCTGGATATGAAATAATGGGGTTTCCTCACCTGTATTGAATGAGATTGAGAAATGTTAGCTATATTGTGTCATTATACAGGGTTCCCAGAAGAACCTTTTTAATTTTCACCCCAGCACAGCCATGAAAACTTAACATTTCACTTACACTTAAAATTTGTTACAAATGTTAGAGCAATTTTCAAAAACTTTGACTTTTTTTTTTAAAAGTCATGTTCAAAGAAGGGTAATCAAATTTGTTGAATGCAATGCTGATGATAGTCAAATGCGGTGTCTGAGGTATTGATAAAATGTGCGTTATTTGTCAGTGCTGTTGTACAAGAATTTGGCATTTTTCTTTCAAATTCTTTCAAATTTAATTCATGGACTTTCATGTTTGTTTTTAAGTACTTTTCAGGTCTTGAATCCATATGTCTGAAATTTAAATTCTTTTAAGAAGCCCGGGAACCCTGATAATAATGTAATTTAATGGCAAATATGCTTTGCCGCTACAAACTAAATTTATTAGGTGGTAGAAGGGCCAACATGTCACTTTTGATCACAATAGATGCTGACCCCTGGTCTAGATCCTTAACGTGACTAGTTATTAATTATTTATTTATGTTTTGTATGTTCATTTATTTTATCTTCATTACTTTTTGGAGGAGGAAATTAAATGTTAAAATGTCGGTTTTTAAATGTTCATTCTCAATGTCACTGATCGCTTCTGGAATGTTCTACTGTTTAAAAAAAAAAACAACAACAACAACAACAAAAAAAAAAACATGTCAAAAATGACCGAACCTATTGTGGAGGTCCAAAAATGCCTTTTTTTTGTCAGGACAGCATTAAACACTCCAATCACCATGCCAGATGTTGTTGATCAGGACACATTTCACAACATTAAATGATTGATTTTTATATCCTGGCACCCACTGCTGCTCACAAATTCCCACAACACTCAACATTAAATGAATCATGCCAGAATCAGGCTAATATTATGTAGGTTTGCGCAAGGGACTTCGTTCATCAATCTGTTGTTGACTGGATGAAGGCAGATTTTAATTAAGCTTTTAGAGGACAGAAGACGCACTGGATAAAGCAGTTTCACTGAATCATTTCTGAGTCTTTTTTTTTTATTAAAAATCATTTACTCAATAATTTTCCTTCGGCTTAGTCCCTTATTTGTCAGGGGTCACCAGAGCGGAATAAACTACCAACTATTCCGGCTTATGTTTTACGCAGTAGAGTACTGGGAAACCCTTATACACTCTTACACTCAAACACACTCTATACACTATGGCCTATTTAGTTCATCCAATTCACCTATAGTGCATGTCTTTGGACTGTGGGCGAAACCAGAGAACCCAGACAAAATCCAAGCAAACAAGGAGAGAAAGTGCAAAGTCCACACAGAAATGCCAACTGGCTCAGCTGGCACTTGAACCAGCGACCTTCTTCCTGTGAGGTGACAGTGCTAACCACTGAGCCACCATGCCACCTTGATTAAAAACTGTCAAGTAAAAAAATTGATATTGAAATGCAAGCACGGATAAATAATTGACATTAAGACCAGCAATTTTCTATTTCATGCCAACGCTGCTGGAGAAGGACTGTTCGAGACACTGATACCATAATTGCCAGCTGGGATACTGAAACCCTAATCAGTGTGCCAAAATTTCAACCATACGGCTCAAACGGCTGACAGACTTCCAGCCAGGAGGAACAGCAGAAGAAAAAGACCAGATAAAATATGCGCATACACCAAACAATAGCACTTGAGGCTTTTAAATACATAAGATGTATTGTGGTTTGTCTCTTCCAGGCTAATGATCATTTATTTAGGAGAAGTTACATGACTGAAAATAAAAACCTAAAAGGTAATCAAAAGAATAATAGCAGAAAGGTCTGAAGAAAATGGTGGTTCTTTAAAAGCCTTGGATTAGATTTCTTAGTGATACAGTTGCAGCTTTCTTATAACTTAAGCTTAATTTGAGCAAGATCTTGTCGTGTCTTGTTCTGGAAAAGTCAGATTTTTGCAGAGGCAGTCAAGCATTATTTGATTCTTTATAAACATGAGTAAATCAGATAATAAGCTTCGTCAAAGGAGATCTCGAAAAGATGGAACTACAGCCCCTGGATCAGGATAGCAGGAGACTGAAGCAAAGCGATCTCAAGTGAGCCAAAAACATGAAGTAGAGGGCTGTGGGCTCTTCTTGAATTGTCATTTAATTTTTTTTTTTACATGGCACATAGCAAAGGGAATGAATGTCAATAGTGTTAGTAAACTGAACAGTGATGTTCCATAAAAATTATGTTTTGTAGACAGTTTTTTTTTTTTGCACAAATGACTCATGTATGGCACAAATTAATAAAGATTGTTCAGAAATGTGATGCTTTTTTTTCCGAGTTATCACCGTGGTGACTTTTATTTCCAGGTTTTGTTCCAGAAATTGTTCATTTAAAAATTAAGCACTGGGTAAAGAAGTTAACGTCTTCAGATTTTACCGCAAGGCTATGAAAACTGTACAGCTTTTATAAATTTTGATGCCAAACGTGTACTCTATGAAATGATGCAGTGTTTGGATATCACAACTAAATGATGAACAATCACATGCCTCAAACTGACAATCTTTGGGCAAAACACAACACATAGTAAAACTGGTGTTTCAGTGTTTGCTTGTGGGTGAAAATAACATCAAACAATGTTGCAAAACATGAAAGCGGGAGTAAAGAAATGGTCAATTTTCTTTTTTTCATCCTTGCAGCATAAAAGCAAAGCCCCTTTAAGGCAAGTCATTTCACTTAGCGGCTATTTTTGAAACGCCACTAGGGCAGTATGTTTGGGCATTCTGTCTGAATTGGGAAGCATCAAATTCTCCAAAACTGTTTGCCAAGCTTACATTTACATTACATATTTGGAATCATCATTAAAATCAAACAACAACCGTCTCAAAATCAGCATTTTTTCAAGGTGCTGGAGCAATTGCGCATGCGCACTCGAAAGAAACGAGATAACGACACAAACCATATTTATGGCCATACTACATATTATCATCATCTGGATAATGATCATCAGATCGTGCTGCTCTTCTAAAGATAAAACTTGGTCCAGATGGTGAATCTCCTCCAGAAATGACATGAACACTATGTTTACAAGTTTATGGGTGTTTAAGTAGTTGCTGTAATGTGTGTGTGACAGTATGGATTGTACCTTGCGTTTGTTTCATAAAAATTACAAAATCAAAAAACTTCTGTTTTCAAGTGCATTTGGCTCAATTAAAAGTACAGCTTTCAAATATGTGGATATATTTAATATGTCTGTTCAGGTAGTGATCGCTGAGATTCCAGTGCATATGTTGACCATCAAAACTGTCGTAAAATCTCACATCTGGTCCAAGCTTTTCCCCGATGAAACGTTTTTCTATAGTGATTGCCGATTGGCTCCTTGGTTAATAGGCGGGGCTTAATTCGCCATATTGACATTTACACTATTCCCCATTCAATACTATACAAGTGTCAAGACTTGTCTTTGATAAAAGCCAGTAGCAGTCACCAATACTTAAAATTATCATGCAACAGTTTACCTACATTTTCCGTCTGAAATTTTAGTGCATAAAAAAATGACCTAATGTAGTGTTAATCCTATTTACACACTGCTTCAGAAAATTCATCATTTAAAAAGAAATAAGATTTTCTATTTTTTGCATTCGTAGCAAATATTTTGACAATTAAGAGCCACTGTGTGAATGAAAAACAAATTTGTCAACTTTATCTCACAACGTCTTCATGACAAACGTGAAGTGAGGAATACAAAAACTGATTTTGGTGAATGGTTGAGAGCCACTGCTGTAGCCTACTGTATGCTGTTTTCAATGGTGTGTGTTCATACTTTTGACATACTGCCAGTCTCTGTTCAGGATCAGTTCGAATCAACGGACACAGTATTTCTTTTTCTTTTTTTGAAGAAGCGAGAGGGGAACTGCGTGGAGACTCTATTTTTTTCCCCCACAAGAAATACATTAATTCACATGGGTCAAGGTATCTGGGCATGGCAATAATTTCTGATAAAAAAAAAATAATAATTGTACATTGGATAATTATACCGCAAATATTGATGAAAAGGTAAAAACCCTGCGTTTAGCACTGTGAAACATCAGATTACAAACCGCGCTGACTTACAGATAAATTATGAGCAATATGGGTTTAGAATCACCGAGGTTAACCAGCTCAACAGATCACTTTTAGAAGAGCTGCCGAAGACAAAAACTAAAGCAAGCATAAAAATAAATCAGGCAAATATTTGGCAGGGCAAGGAAAACCTACTGTAAAAGCAATGCACATTTATCGAGTGCCTCAGTTAAGAGTTTTATGAAGGTCGTTTAATTGGATGATGGGGTGTTTTAAGATGAGACATGACAGAGACTGGACCATTTAAAGTGATTTAGAGTTTGGTACGGCCACAGTGTCCTAATAGAGGCATAGTGGACTTCATTACAGTGATAGAAGGCCCATGGAATCTCAAACAGGACCAGCGGGCCATGCAAGTCAGTGTGTGTCTTCACCTGTTTGTATTCGCCGATGATGGAGCCGTTCTTCTTGATCTCGGACTCAGATTTATCCAGCTCTCTCCGACACATCTCCTTCAGCTGAAAACACAGATGTAAACGCAAGTTATAGACTATTTCAATGTGGTCTTGTCATTGGCCGATAAACATTTTCTGCTCGTTATGAAAGTATTTTATAACTGTAACAAGAGGCAATTCAATCAAAACTGATGTTAAAACAACAATCATAACATCATTTATCAATATGTGACTCTTTTTGGATTCTTGGAAGCTATAGAAATTAAAAAAAGTAAAACAGGAAATATGTTGGGACCATTGTTTTTGTTTACATCCTTCAAAATGGTCTATAAACTCTTCTGCTTTTTCAACTAAATAGAAATCAGTCATATTACAACGATACTATATTTAAGCCAAGTGTCCCCTCTGGAGGACATCGATTTAGGACAAGTGTGTGCACCGCCTAGACTGTTCCACAGCCTCAAAACAATCAATTCAAACACACATCCAGCATACTGTGAGTTTGCTCTCGTTCTATGATATTAAAGAATAAACTATAAACTCTGACATAAATATAGTAAACCATTACTCATTATGGATTTACTGAGGAGATGACTTGAATCTTTATTTAAAAGATTTGTTTAAATGTGACCTATTATTAGGCCCACACAGAATATGCGCGCGCAGAAATCCACAGATTTCTGCATATTTTTAGCACATCATTGAGTCTATTTATTTGTTTAAATATGTGTAAATGTATATTTATTAAGTTTTAAATTAAGTTCAGTAATAATATTGACTAATCGAAAAATGTTCATTTGATTTATTTACAATAAAGTTTGTAAAGTAATATTTTTTGTCTTTTAGTAAATTTATTATATGAAAGAAATGCTATACCAATGCTTTGCTTTTTGCATTGTAAACCTTAAATAAAAGTTCAAAATCATTCTGCATAAATCCACAGATTTATTACAAAATTCTCTACAGAAATAGCAAAAACATGTCTGCAGATTCTGTCTGGCCCTACCTATAATGCTGTGTTTTTTTAAGCAATAATATAAAAGAAAAGTTATTTGATTTGAAGTTTCTTTTTGTTGTGGTTTTTTTCTCTCCACTGTCTTTCTGACAAGTTTCTTTATGAACGTATAAAGGTGCAGTGAATTAGGTGTTGACACCTAATCTTGTCGGTGTGTTGGTGAAGTTCATTTAAACCAGACTGGAAGATCGTTCAGAGAGTCTCCTCTCTCCTGTCTTGTTTTGTTTATTTGTGAGAACTTATGTTGTGCTTGTTTGGGGATATTGTGGAATTTGACACTGGGTGTTAAACTATTAAGACCAATGTACAGAGATGCATGTGATAGGGAGGGTGCTTTAAGTTTTATCATGCTTTGTGGTTAGTAGGAAGGTAAGTAATTGTTGTTTAATTTGTTTTTATTTATGTGCAGGTAAGAGGATTTAAAACTTAGTAATTGTTGAGTTTTTGTTATTTTAGCTTTCCCTCTGCAAGATTTTTATTTCTTTTTTTCAATTTAAATGTCAAATAAACTTGACTTTACGTTATTTCTCTGGTCAATCAGCTTTGTGGTTGTTTTCTTTTGAACAGGAGATGAGACTTCAGGCTCCTCATTAATTTTATAGGTGTCTTTTATTCATTCATTCATTCACACATTCATTCTCTTTTCAGCTTAGTCCCTTTATAAATCGAAAGTCGCCACAGCGAAAGAACCACCAACTTATCCAGCATATGTTTTACGCAGCAGATGTCCTTTCAGCCGCAATCCAACACTGGGAAACACCCATACACTCTAACATTCACACATATACACTACAATTTAGCTTACCCCATTCACCTAGAGTGTATGTCTTTGCACTGTTGGAAAAACTAGAGTACCCAGAGGAAACACATGCAAACACAGGTAGAACAAGCAAACTCCACACAGAAATGCTAACTGACCCAGTCGGGGCTTGAACCAGCGACCTTCTTGCTGTGAGGTGATCGTGCTACCCACTGTGCCACCATGACGCCCTTTAAGGGTGTCTTATTTCATGTAATTTTTTTAAATCTATTGTTACAGGTCTGGCGTGCTTTATAGAGCAATGCAAAATTTAGAGTATGTAACATGCTCATTTTTACAAAATGTGAAATAAGTTTCTCATGTCCCTAGAGTGTGTATGTGAAGTTTCAGCTCAAAACACCTCACAAATATTGTTTTATATCTCTTTGAAACTGGCCCTTTTAGGCTTTGTTTCAAATTGTGCCGTTTTGATGACTGTCACTTTACATTCAATTGAGATTATGCTTTTTCAAAAGAGGGCAAAGCTTCAAGCGCCTGTGTGTTACCATAGATTAAGAAAAAAAATATATATAATAATAAATAAATTAAAAAAACAGGACTAATGTTGTGAAACAGTGAAAATGTGAAAAGAAGTGTCTCATAAGAATGAAAATTGCGTCCCAAATGGCACACTATCCACTATGCACTTACACACTCACCAGCATGGTATATGAATTTAGTGTCATCCCAAATGGAACACTAACAGTGTTTTTAACAATCGGAAATTCAAACCGTTTCCCGGATGACATTAGACGATTGCAAAACTAGTAAAATAAATAACCAAACAAAACTACCAAATAATACCTGCCATGAGTATAACTGCCTTCATTCACCATCGAGAGGCAGTATAACCATTCTCATAGAAGCACTTGGTTTTCACAATCCCAAATAAATAAGCTAATCCAACATCATTGCCTGAAAGCTCGCCCCTTCAGCTATGTGTTCAAAGCAGCGGCTGTTGAGTGCGTGAAGTGTCCAACATTCCACACTTCTTTTTAACAGTTGAATAAGTGCATCATCCAGGTATTTATAGAGTGATGTAATGTGCATTTATATAGCGCATTTATTGTGTATTGCCATACACCCAAAGCGCTTCACAATTATGAGGGGTGGTCTCTTCACACCACCACCAGTGTGCAGCATCCACTTGGATGATGCAACAGCAGCCACAGGACAAAGGCCCCGTTTACACTAATGCGTTTTAGTTTGAAAACGCATAAGCTTTGCTACGGTTACGCCATCCATCCACACTACGCCGGAGTTCTCAAGGGCCGAAAACGGAGCGTTTCGAAAACGCTGGAGGGGCCGTTTTCATTCTGAAATGCTGCTGCTCCGTCTCAGTGTGGATGATGGAAAACAGAGGCATCTGAAAACGGAGGCGGGGCTGCAGACATTCGTCTCTCTGATTGGGGCTTTTTCTCAATATTAAGTAGCCTAACGTTACACACAGTTCAGTCCTGCATCCTCTCCTTGTAAGTTCAGACTTCGCAAGTTTGATCAAGGCTGCAGTCTCTTCTTCTCAGTTTGATATGGAAAACAGACTATACCGAGGACACGGGTAAATCTTCAAAGGAAACAGTGTACTTTATAACTTCATTCACATCACCCTGGCTACGTTGTTTCACTTTCTCAACAATAAAATGTAAACATGATTTAAGGAACTGCCTATTTTCATTTTAATATTAGCAACTTAACAGACAGCAGAAATGTTGAGGCGCCGTGCTGCATATATGAGCGTCATATTCACTGTGTGGATATTTATAACTAAACGGAGCCGATAACAACTGTCTCCTTTCAATTTCAGTGAAAATACAAAACATCCCCTCTCTTTTGTTGAATATCAGTTTTAATAATCGATAATGGCCATTATAAAAGTATAACATACAATAAGTCAATACATTATAGGAAATAAAGGCTAGCGATCAGTCAATATACAGAATGTAGGCTACGTGGTTACAATAATCATTAACTTATCTTTGCGCTCAGCCAAAACACGTTACCTGAGAACAAGTAATAGATTCCAATGACCAAAGTCAGGGAATATGTCGTTAGATAAAGACAACAAGATGAATGAAATTTCCCATTTAATAAATATAGTGAGATTAGATCCAGCGGGAGATGCTTGATGAGAAGTCCGACTAGCACAGCTCTTATCTGGGTAGATGGGCTGCAGCACTTGCCCAAGAGAGTGTGTGTGGTCACGTGATGTGCGTTTTCAGCGTTTTGGTGTGGACGGAGAGCAGTTCAGAAACGCTGTGTAAAACGCGAGTGTGGACGCGGATCGTTTTCATTCTAAAACGCCGTTTTAAAACTAAAACACACTAGTGTAAACGGGGCCAAAGGCACCAGTCCGCTCACCACACATAATGTAGTCCTTCCCTGGCAATTTCTTTGTCACTGTTTTAACAAAGATAATAACATGCAGAGCTATTTCATTTAAAGAGATAGTTCACCCGAAAAGTTTAGTTTTGGAAAACATTCCCTCACCATTTACTCAGTGGTACTAAATGTTTATGAATTTGTTTTGCTCAATACAAAACAAGATATTCTGAACATTGATGGGAAAAAAAACAGCCACTGACATCTATAGTAGAAACAGAATACACAATGGAAGTCAAAAGGCTTTTCCCAATATATTCAGTGTATCTTCCTTTGTGTTCAACACAAAGCTTGGAACAAGTGAAGGATGAGTAAATGATGACAGAATTTCCTATTCCTTTAATTTTATTAATAATTAGACAAATATTTAGCTTTCAGGTGAAGTTAAAGCATTTAAAAATATATTATATTTTTATTATATATAACTATTATAATTGCATTTTTAACACAGAATTATGTTAACAATGTTTAAATTGTGTAAGTAAATGGTAAAGGGGAAAAAAGTACAGTACAACACCATTCTGAACACCTTCAATACTATATATAATCCACACTTTTCAAGACACCTCATGATACTGAGAAAAAGACTGAGCTAAGCTGCAATTCAAAGAATGAGTGCAAATAAAGAGTTTTGATTTGGTGACAATTTGTTTGTCAGTGCACCATTCCCACAGCATGCCACTACGAACTATTCTGCCTAAAAGAGCATGTGTTTCAGATGTTTTAGGAAGTGTCTGACCTGTGCAGACTCTTCCTCCAGTCGTCTTTTCTCATCTTCCGACTCCACCAGTTTCTGTTTAGTGATGAGAAGCTCTTTGTTGAGCGCGTCTGCTTTCTCCTCAGCCTAAGAGGAAAAAAACACACAAAGTTATAATGTACATACCAGAAGTCTAAGCCATGTCAGAAACTTAAAAAGAAAGAAATCATTTTTAAAATGGGCTCAAAAGCTTACGTTGTCCAGATCTTTCCTCAGGGCAATCTTACTGCTGACCAGCTCGTGAGCCAAATCGTCATTTTCCTGCTCCAGTCGCATGTTGGCTTCCTGTAGCCGCCGGTTTTCTCTCTAGAGAGTAGAGAGAGAGTGTGAGCGTGTGACTCCATCAGTGTCTTGTGACTGTCACTATAATGGTTAACTGTGCTGGGAATACAAGGAACCTTGGAGAAGAAACCTGATTAAAAATTGACAAGTTGAAGGGAAATATGTCAGAAAGCAATTTACATACCACTGACTGGACTTTCAGTCCTCTGGCTGTTAGATCAAGAGACACTTTTAAAGAGCGAGAGTTTTTTATGACATGAATAATAATGCAAATGTGTGCTTCTAAAGCCTTTCTACATATTCAGTGAAGGAATGACAGAGTTCAAACGCAATGCATTTAACAGTGATATTAGTTATAATACTATTAATAATAAACATACTGTTGGATAGTTATTTATAGTTATTTAACATTGAAATTACAGGTATTAAATTTAATATATATATAAGACAACACTTAAAAAATAAGACAATAATTAATGTAAATGCCCTTTAGCAGATATACAGTGGGGAAAATAAGTATTGATCAAGTCACAATTCCTCTCAGAAAACTATGTGAAAAAAGAATATTTCTAAGGATGTCGTTGAATTGAAATTTTCGCAGGACGTTGGTAATAACCTAAGGGATCCACATTAATTAGTTTACAAATGAAATTATGAGTAATACAGTGATATGACACAGGGGAAAAGTACACATGAAGTACACATGAAAAAAAGAAAGATGTAGAAAGGCAGTGAATGCCCAGACAGCAGCTGACATCTCTGAATAGTTCTTCAGCAAGCCCCTGCCCTTCATCAGTGTAAATTAATATTATCTGTTTCAGTACAATGTCTATATTACCAGAATGATTAAGATGAATCCAGGGTAGACATTTCAGCAAGACAATAATCCAAAACATAGTCAAAGAATCTCTTTTTTAGAGAATACTTTTTCAACAAATTTCTAAAGATAACAGTTTCAATAACGTATTTCTAATAACTGATTTATTTTATCTTTGTCATGATGTCAGTAAATAATATTTGACTAGATATTTTTCAAGACACTTCTATACAGCTTAAAGTGACATTTAAAGGCTTAACAAGGTTAATTAGGTTAACTAGGCAGGTTAGGGTAATTAGGCAAGTTATTGTATAACGATTGTTCTGTAGACTATCAAAAAATATAGCTTAAAGGGGCTAATAATTTGTCCTTAAAATAGTGTTTAAAAGTAAAAAAAAAAAAAAAAAGCTTTTATTCTAGGCAAAATAAAAAATAAATAAGACTTTATCCAGAAGAAAACATATTATTAGACTCGATGTGAAAATTTCCTTGCTCTGTTAATCATAATTTGGGAAATATTTCAAAAAGAAAAACAATTTAAAGGGGGGCTAATAATTCTGACTTTAACATTATATAAAATAATTTCAATATAGAATCATATAGTAAATATTAATTTAAAAGAGAGATTTGTAAGGGGTGTACTCTTATAGGCCGAGCCCTGTATATTCTTTTGTGTAAAACAGAAATAAGAAACTCATAAAGGTTTGAAACAAGTAAAGAGTAAGTAATTTACAGTTTTATTTTATTTTATTGTTAACTGTACCTTTAAATAACAACTATGTTGTTAGTCTTGGCAAAGCGGTCATGTATTGTTTAGCTCTGTTTTGTTAATCATTTGATCACTGTTAATATCATTGCTAACTCTATTGCATTTGAACTTCACTGAAATTGCACAACTGCTTCAGAAACACACACTTTTTATTGCATTACAATTTGGCATTATGCAGATTTAGTTTACTTCAATAACTCATCTATTCTTTGTCAGATTCATTAATTTTTTCAAGAATTACTCTTTAAGGTATCTTTTTAACTTTAAAACCATGAAAGCACCTGATTTATGGCATAACACAAAAAGTTGTGATTTAAAGTTCAATTTTAAAGTTCACTCTCCAGCAAACTATTTCCAATGTACTTTGATTTATGGCTTTATTTGTGATCCTGCAAACTTCTAACAGCATTGTATTTTCAGTAAACTGTACTGCTCTTTTAATGTGTGAAATGTGCTCTGTGTGTGTGTGTGTGTGTGTGTGTGTGTGTGTGTGTGTGTGTGTGTGTGTGTGTGTGTGTGTGTGTGTGTGTGTGTGTGTGTGTGTGTGTAAATTTCCAACTCTGACGGACAGGTACAAATGATCACAGTAATTCCTCATGCGCGGATCTCAGTCTAACAGTTGACTGGCAGGAAGCTGATATCAGAAATCCATCTGGCCCTTTTTGCATCATCTCTGAGCCCAGCGGTGACCTCGTCTCACATCGCTGCTCATTATAAGCACAAAGCGCATATGCTAATAGCACCAGATACAGGATGGGGATGGCGGAAGATGAGTTTTAGCTCGACGCAGAGTAGAAAACCAGCTCTGATTGAGAGGGAGAACCAAATCTCGGCCGAGATTAAACGCATATGAGCAAACGCACGCACACCCAAATGGATCATGTAAATATTCATATGCACGCAGTTATGAATGCAGATGTGTAACTCCCGGCAGAGATGCACAGACGAATGAAGGTTAAAATCTACCTCATATCTCTCGATCGGCGCTTCCTGCTGTTCTTGCTGCTCGCGAATGGTGTGATATTCCTTCTCGTACTTCTTCAGCTTCTTCTGGCTGATCTGTTAAATATAAAACACAAGTAAATGAGAAATTATTTGAATGTGGACAGACCAAAACAAAAAAGTTTAACCCTGGAACATTGGGTTTTAATGTGTTAAAGATGTGGTAGTGCGAGAAAATAATTATTTAAAATTAAAATTAAATTTAAATTTAAAATTGAAATATATATATATATATATATATATATATATATATATATATATATATATATATATATATATATATGTATATATATATATATATATATATACACACACACACACACACATACGGTTAAAGTCAGAATTATTAGCCCCCCTGAATTATTAGCGCCCCTGTTTATTTTTTTCCCCAATTTCTGTTCTTTTCTGGGAAGATTGTTTCAGCACATTTCTAAGCATAATAGTTTTTAAAACTTATTTCTAATAAGTGATTTATTTTATCTTTTCCATGATGACAGTAAATAATATTTGACTAGATATTTTTCAAGACACTTCTATACAGCTTCTATACAGTGACATTAAAAGGCTTAACTAGGTTAATAAGGTGAACAAGGCAGGTTAGGGTAATTAGTCAAGTTATATAACGATGGTTTGTTCTGTAGATTATCGGAAAAAAAAATTAGCTTAAAGGGGCTAATATTTTGTCCGCAAAGTTTTTAAAAAAATTAATAACTGCTTTTATTCTAGCCCAAACAGTTAAAGTCAGAATTATTAGCCCCCTTCATTTTTTTTCTTTTTAAAATATTTTGCAAATGATGTTTACCAGAGCAAGGAAATTTTTTACAGTATGTCTGATAATATTTTTCTTCTGAAAAAAGTCTTGTTTGTTTTATTTCGGTTAGAATAAAAGCAGCCTTTAAGAACATTAAGGACAAAACTATTAGCCCCTTTAATAGACCTTTTATAGACAGGTGTATTCCTTTTCAAATGTCCAATCAACTGAATCTTCCGAAGGAAAAAAAATTCCAATAAAGCTGCTTTTGTTTTGTTTTTTTAATAGGAAAAAGTGAAGGCTATAAATACTTTTCGGATTATATATATATATATATATTTAGCTAGTTACTTTGTAACTAATTACACTCAACACTGCATCCAATACATATCAGCTCTTCCCCAGACTCTGCCCTGAAGTGCACCAGACTTGTTGATAGTCAACTTGAATAAATTACAGCTAAGCCTTTCTGACTTTAAAACTAGCCAGACTCACCGCCAACCCAAATAAAGCTGTGACTCAAACAAACCCACTCATTTAAAATGTTACCAGACTAATGCATTTAAAAGGATTTCTGTTCATGCTCTACCTGCGAGCTGGACACAAACACACGAGCCGTGCCACATTTATCCACCTGCAGCCCAAGACTACCCTATTTTCATGCAATGACCCAATTTCTGAGAGACTGAGTGTGTTTTGTGCTCAGAGAACCAGCCATTTTTCAACAGAACGCCGAGAGCCGCAGGTACGTGCGTGTTTGTAAATGAGCTCTATTTAGACTAGCTGTAGGACACAGAACCGGGTCTGTTCCATATTTAATCCGTAATGCTTCCACAGATGAAATGAGATCCATATAAAAGCCCTCCATGTCACGAGGGCTTCATCAGTCAGCGTGTTTTTGGCGACACTCTTGGGAACAATTAGACTTGGCTGTAGGGAAATGAAGTGTGTCTGTGTGTGTAAAAGCTCTTTTGATCGTGAAGGGTGTTAAACTGCGGTGTGTGGTGACAGTGAAACCGAGGAAGGGGCCGTTTTAGGCATCAGATTTTTGAACGCTGGGCCCCTCGTTTTGAAATAGCACACAAACACAGCAGTGAAAGTAAGCTTTTAGTGTTGGGTTGGGATGTTGAGACTTGGAGGAAGAGAAGTAAATGCTGGTTTGTATTTGGGTTAAAGGACTGAGATGCAAAAAAAACATGAGCAATCTTGTTTTGATGGAAATGAGGAACCAAAGGAGAAAACAAACATACTTTAAGTACACATGCAGACAGACAGAAATAGTGGTAATTAAAAAATAAGTAAATAAATAAATAAATAAATTAGACTGAATTAAAATATGCAGATCAGTGTGTTATATAAAAGGGTTTTGAGGCAAAATTTTTAACTTGTGACGCAATAAAATAATATTTAAGGGTCACAGTAAAATATATATATTGCACCAAAATATATTGCAATCAACAATATTATTGTCGTTTTAAGACCAGTTTATGCCAGTCATTATAAAATGCCAGAATGACAATGTAATTATCAACGACGTTGTCTGTCAGGGCAAATAACATTTTAGGGGATCCAACCCACCCTGGCCATAGCCTGCTCTCACTCATGCCATCAGGCAGGCGTTACAGAAGTCTGAGGAGCAAATCAGTGCGGTTTCGAGATAGTTTTTATCCTGTCATTATAAGACTTTTGAATAATACCATTTCTTAAACATTGTTGATAGCTAGTGTTAAAAATAAATAAATTTGTTAAACTAGCATAAATTGTTAATATTACAACAAATGGTGAAATAGGTATTTAAGTATTGAGTTATTCTCTTCAGAGATTTTTTAAAAATGGGTGATATCTTATATAATTATATTTTTTATATTTTTATGGAATTATAAAAGCTTATTTATCATGTTAGGATTTTATAGTGTTTTTATAGTGATGTTTTTTATGTTCTTGTTGGGTCTGTTGAACGTAATTTCGTTCTGCATTACAATTCTATTGTGATGATTTGAATGACATAAATAAAGGAAACTGAAACTGTAATGGCATTGCAACGCAAGTACACTCTTCAAAGAAAACAATGTTTTATTCTTAGAAAAATTTCATTTAATTATAGTCATTTTAAAAACTTAATAATTGGGCATTGAAATCAGAATCTGAAAATGTATATCCTAAACAAATAAATAATAATAAATGTTAATTAAAAAATTGCAAAATAAAAAGTAACAGTGACTATGATATCTGCTACCAGATCTATTTTCATTCGCTAGGCACCCATGTGAAACCATATTATAGTAACTCATAGTAAATACTATAGTGTTTTTTTTTAAAGAAACTGACATTGCCGCCTCTAATAGAGATAGAGATGTTGCACAATCAGCTGAAATGTTGCTAGAATTGGTTTATATGTATGGCATCACCAAAAATGATTGAGCTCATGTTCATGTGTTGTGTGATAAGTCTATATATTCATTATTGATAAAGGCTTACCCAAAGTACTATTTAAATATGTACCACTATATTTCAAATCACTGTATTTAAAACCATTTGTCAGTAAGAAGTTTTTTAAAAATAAATAAAAAATAATAAAATTTAATACGGATGGGATATGGACAGGACAGGATAAGTATATCATATCATTATTTTACATTGAAATATCTGTTGTGCTTAATAAGAATGGATTTATTAGAGTTTTGGTTGTATGAATCAATAGATGGACAAAACTAAGGAATTTGTATTTTCAAAGATGAGCAAAAATTAAAGTTTTGGAAGGACTCAAGAATAAGTAAATAATGCTATGATCTATTACTTTAAAATTTCGAATAAAAGTTTTAGGAATTAATGTTAATGTAATAAGTAGCATTATCAAATTCACTATTGTTTTTATTTATAATTTTAACTGAACTTTTGATTTTAATTTAACTAACAATTTACACTATTCATCGTTATGCTGAATTACATTTATGCTAAAATAATAATAACAATTTAAAAACAAATTAATTTGAACAACACTCGGACAGAAGCACTAAAAAAACCAGGAGCGATTTAGTTTTTTTACTCCTGCAGTGTCCTCTGCTGGACAATCAGGAGAACTGATTTTATTTAAAAAAATAATAATAATAATTTATACTGATTAAAAAAAACTAAATGTAAAAATTGAAAAAAAATGACAATTTTAATCATGAGCTTGTCGTTTTTCAGATTTTTGCTAAATAAAATGATAATTTTTGCTAAATATAATTGGTCTTTTCTGTGTATGTAATCACTTTTGGCACTGAATAATGTTAAACATACAAAGCATGAACCACTGAACCAAGGAAAACACATTTTCTTTCCATTAAATATAAAAATTTTTGAAAATAAAATAAATCTATTTTAACTAAAAATGTATCAAGGTTATATTTATGTTGATTTGATATTGTTTTGTTTGAAATAAATATGATTATTGCATTTTTTTCAAGTTATAAACTAAGAATTATGTATACCCAGAACAAGAGAATACATTATATAAGGATTGCAGAAAAATTATAAATAATACTAATAAAAAATTTTTTTAAAAAAAAAAACACTAACAGGGTGACTGTAACTGTCGGCTTACAGCAAGAAGGTCACTGGTTTGAGTCTCAAGGTCTGTTGGCATTTCTGTGTGGAGTTTGCATGTTCTCCCTGTGTTGGCATGGGTTTCCTCCGGGTGCTCTGGTTTCCCCCACAGTCCAAAGACATGCCCAACAGGTGAATTGAATAAACTAAATTGTCCATAGTGTATGTGTGTGAATGCGTGTGTATGGGTGTTTCCCAGTAATGGGTTGCAGCTGGAAGGACATCCACTGTGTAAAACATATGTTGGATAAGTTGGTGGTCATTCTGCTGTGGCCACCCCGGATAAATAAAGGGACTAAGCCGAAGGAAAATGAATGAATGAACACTAACAGCAACTGATAAAAATAAAAAATAAATAAATAATAATAATAACAATTATAACATGATTAAGTGTTTTCATTGTACTCTTTTCCTTTCTGTCAATAAATTTGATGATCATCACATCAAACACAAAACACAGAGAGTTGAACAGATCTGATTTGGGTCACATCGCTAAACATGTCCTGCAGACAGCTTGGTTACCTTCATACTGCATGCTAACTCCATGAGCTTCTTAGCATTTTCCTCAGAGCGATAGCGCTTGGGCACAGGCACTCGGAAAAACTTCAGTGCACCCTCAAAATCCGTCTGCAGCAGATCATCTTTAGATGTCTGTAGAGAGAAAGAGCGATCAAATTGTGATGTTTAGTTATTAATGGCATAAATAAGTATTCTCTGCCTCCTGACAGGTGATGGTAATGATGAAAGATTCCCTGAGGAACATCTGATCATGCTATGTTGTAGCTGCCAATTATGTTGTGTACATCATTTTTAAGAGCAGGTCATATCATATGGATTTTTTAAAAAAATAGTATTTGCAGATTGTAATGTTTCTGTCTTTCATTATAATCAGTCTGCCTTATAAAAAATAGTTAATAAAAAGTTTGGTGCAATAGCCTAGTGGTTAGCGCTCTGACATATGGTGCAATAGCACTTCAGGGAGTCCCGAGTTCGAATCCCGGCTCGAGGACATTTCCCGTCTCTACCCCCTGGCTCTCTACAACTTCACTTACTCTCTAAAATATTGTCATATCTACTTAATAAATGCAAAAAAAAAAAAGTGTTTAAAAAAAACAGATCTCTGGAATTCTGGATTTTGATTGGTCAGTTCGACATCACAAGGTATGCTATTTTCAGATAACAACTGATTCAACACATGCTTATTAAGGAACTTTGAATTATCTGGACCTTTACTGAATACACTCTTATTTATATGATTATTTAACACAATCTTGTGGCAATTTGTAACTTTTTGATTTAGTGGCTAAATAGTATTTGCTTGTATTACCTTATTCATACTTTTCTTACGATTTGTTGATCACCAAATTAGGACTATTAGGGGTGGGGCTTGGGGGCATGCCTCCTTCTAAAAAATCGTACGTTTTCATACAAATCGTAATGTGAAAATCATAATAATTAATAATAAAAAATAATTAATGTATCAATTGTATTGTATTTGATCAGCTACTTCTTAAAAAACAGGTTTAATACTACCATGTTATTGCTACAATTAAAAACAAAAGAATTTTAAGATTTACAAAAGAACTTTAATTTAAGATATTCTAATCTGAATGTGTTTTAAATAATTATTTTTTATTTATAACTCAAGCTGGCTGTAAAACAATGGGACATGCATGTGTTTCTAACACAACAATACTAAATAAACATAAACAGAACCATTAGAAATGTTTTGATTTAAAACAGATTATTTTATAATCTGTAATATAATATATAATAATAATTTATAATATAAAGTATATTCTAAGGGAAATCGTGTAAATTTAGCCAATTTTCTGACAATACATAAAATAGTTTGAAAAAACAAAATAGTTTCTTCGTGAGATCGAGCTGGCTCATCTGTTAAGCTGCTGTTCCTGACTGTTTGGTGCTATCTTCTGACTGAATACAATTTAAGTTAGTGTAGGCTGAATTCAGCCATTTTATTTTCTAAGCTTAATGTTTAATTAATTCTGTTTAATTTTTGTTTCTAATTATTTATTTTTGTATCAAGTAGTTGTGTAATAAGAAAGATAATGCACACCTAGGCAGTAATTCTGGCAGAATAAAGCAATTCAGTCTTATACAACAGCTTCTGCTTTGTGTCTGGCTTTATTTTGCAAGAACAACAGCTTTGATGTACATTATCCCTGACATATTGTCTCTTAAAAAAAGGGAGTCTGGTCTAAATTGCCTTAATGAATCATTATATTTTCAAAAAAATCAGAAATAGGTGTTTAATTTCCGACAAGCTATAGATAAGGAAAAACCAAATCAAAGCACACTTGCTGACCAACAAGAGCAGAACTGTCTTGTGGAAGGGAGGGGTTTACATGTCTTAAGGCCTAATTGAACTGTATTGAAATCATTGCAAAATGATTCTAGCAATAAACGTAAATGTTTTGTGAGCTTTAATTAATTTAAATCAGTTATACGGGACTCCAACACAATTTTATGTCCGGCTCTTTATTAGCTGTAACTTTTTGGATGAGGCATGGGTGGAAAAAAGGGGTTTATTTTCAAGATATAACACAAGACTGTAGAGAATATTCATGGTTCAATGGTGAAACAACTGAGAAAATATTGCAGTTAATGATATCATGAGCACCTCCTTACCTTCAATAATGAAAGAGCCACATTAAAAATGACACTGATGCCCTGAAATCAAAACAAAAAGGAAAACAAAATAATTTTATGAAACAAAAATGTTCAAATTTATTTTTATAATTCATCAAAGCAGGTGTTAATGACAATGTACCTCACACAGCAGAAGATCTATGATGTGAAAGACCATGTAAAGAGGGAATTTGGCTGTGAAGAGTGTGAGGAACCACTGGGAGGCGTACATGTGCGCCTCCAAACCCAAGTTCAGGAAGTGTGTGTACAGGTCTGGAATGCATTCCTACAATACAGAGAGGCAGAAAAAACTCATAGTACTGGACCCGCGTGAGTCTATTTGAAATATAATGGTAAAAAAGTTAAAAATAGTGAGAAAAAGAGTTAATTTCTGTTTAAGTCATGCTCATCAGGAAAGCAAATTAATAAACAAATACATAAACAGTATGTCCATGTGCTTCAAGATTTTTTTTTTTTAAGAATCTATAAATATTAAAATAATTACTTAGGGTTTATCTAAGCTTAAAAATGAAGTAACAGTGCTGAAAACTCTGAATTGTAAGAAAAAGTTTAGATTTACAAGACAAAGCAGCATTCACAAAAATAGCCACTATTCACAACACAAGATGTAAATGGAATAGAGAAAAAAAATTGTCACAATTCTGACTTTTGTTTATTACAATTCTAAGCAAATATTTCATTTTGTTTCTGATAATTCTAGTTCTGAAGTTTTTCTCATAACTGATACATCTACATTTCCCCCTCTAATTTCTGTTTGACAAAGAGATGTTTTCAACACATTTCTAAACATAATAGGTTTAATAACTCATTTTTAATAACTGATTGATTTTATCTTTGCCATGATGACAGTAAATAATATTTAACTAGATATTTTTAAGACACTTCTATACAGCTTCTATACAGTGACATTTAAAGGCTTAACTAGGTTAATTAGGTTAACTAGGCAGGTTAGGGTAATTAGGCAAGTTATTGTATGACAATGGTTTGTTCTGTAGACTATCAGAAAAATATATAGCTTAAAGGAGCTAATATATTTTTTTTAAATAAAAAAGTGCTTTTATTCTAGCTGAAATAAAACAAACAAAGACTTTCTCCAGAAGGAAAAAAATATTATCAGACATACTGAAAACTTCCTTGCTTTGTTAAACATCATTTGGGAAATATTTAAAACAGGAAAACAAATTCAAAACGGGGCTAATAATTCTGACTTTAACTGTATAAATCAGATATTTTTTCCCACAGTTGCAAGTATATATTACTATTCACTGTTATTTTTTACTGAACTTATTATTTTGCAATTTTTCTTAGAATGGGGCCTGTTTCATAAAATGAAATACAGAAATACATAAGTCTGAACTTATATTTTGCAGTTCTCTATTTCTCAAACATGAGTTAATTAAACTTTTAGAACAAATGTTAAATCACAAATCAGTTTTAGTGCATCATATAGAGTTGAAATCAAAATGATTAAACCCCCTTTGAATGTTTTGTCTTTTTAAAATATTTCCCAAATGATGACAAAATATTACTATGCAGTGATTTCTGCCTTAGTATAATGTCATTATTTGTATCACAATAAGCAAATCAGCAATGGTTGTAACCTGCATGAGTCTCTCCAGCTGGAAGAACTTGCAGTGCAGGTCTTCAAAGTTCTGCTTAAAGAGCTCCCTGAGACCGTATTCAAACATGATCTTGACCAGCACGCTGAACGCCTGCTCTTCTGGCATCTGCACATGAACAACACAGAAACTCATCACCTAGCTCGATAATACAACCACAACATGTTGACAAAATACCAAAACACACATCCACCAGATGGCACTGCCTCACCTTTTAAAGTACAAAATGACATACAGCTCAAGCATGATATACTGTGCGAGTGACAACACACAAATTCAGTGGCGGAAATGAAGTATTGAACACGCCTGAGAATAATATTTCTAAGTAGCTGATGACATGGAATCGAACCAGATTTTGGTAAAACCTCAAACAATATAAGTATAAAAATAAAAGAAAACAAAATACACATCTGAAAAAATAGTTCTGAGTATTAATACTGGAATGTGACATGGAGTAAGCACTGAACTACTGAAACATATTTAATATAAAAGGCTTTTTCGTCATGGCAGTTTAAAGATGCCTCTTAAATGGAGAATGAAGTTGCTTAGGTGTGATTTTTCACAGACTTTAACAGTGTAAAAAACTATAAAATCTGATCTTTAATTTGTATTTTTTATTGGATTTAAGTCAGGGGATTGGCCGGGCCATTCTACAGCTTTATTTTCTTTCTCTGATAGCATATGATAATTTCCTTGGCTTTGTTTTAAATCATTGTTTTACTAAATTGTCCACCCAAGTTTCATCTTTATCATCCTGATAATGCAGATGTTGGACTGAAGCAGAAAATATTAATTTACAATGAGAAAGGGCAGAAGGTTGCTGAAAAACCACTGCGAGATTTCAGTTGCTGTCTGGGCTTTCACTGCCTTTCAATACTTTGTCACTGAGTCATTTCATTTTATTGCACATAACTTAATTTGTAAACTATTCAGTTTTGTTTTCTTTGCTTATATATATTTCTATTGATTGTTAATAACATCCAAGCCAACATTTTTAGTCAGCAACACCTTTATAAATATATTACCTGAGAAAAATGGTGATGTGTTCAATACTTTTTTCCCCCACTGTATATCATTACATTAAATGTCAGCTTTTATAAACAACTTTGCATTAATCTGCGTTGATACTCACGTGTAATAGCAGCACAGCAGCAAGAAAGGACTGCCCTTGACAGTAACCGATTTCTTCATCATAAACAGAATACGCCTGGAGGATAGAAAATACAAAATATTAGTGGAATTGTGGGTAAATATGGTCTAAATAAACAGACATGCAGTCTTATGCCAGGCTCAGAATACACAATATTAGATGAAATTTGGAACATTTGAATTTTTTCTGATGATTTTTGTAAACAACAACAGATCTTGGGACACCAGACAGTGTCGTCTTTTTTTTTTCTTTTATAGGATGTTGTATCAAATTAATTATTTTATCTTGTATAGTCTCTGTATGTGTGTGTCCAAAACAACAATTTAGAGGTCTAGCATAATCTGACAAAGCAGCTTTGTTTCCGTCCCCCTATTTTATAGATATTTTGAAATATCACATACAAAATGCTTAATGTGAATAGCAAGATTTGCATACATTTTGAAAATGCACATTAAAGACATACATGGACAACTAAGTAGGATAATCATGACATGACACGAAGCTGAATAAGATTTTATGCATGATTATAACAACTGTAAGTGTCATTCGCAAATTAGAGTGTTTTAAATGCAAAGATGACATTGTTTGCCATGAGAACTTGATATAAACAAATGCATCATAACTTTGTTTGTCATGACAGCTTGACATTACCAAGACAACAAAAACTTGTCATAAATCTGTCATAAACATGATTAGCATTAAGCCATTAAAATTGTGTCATGAATTTTATAACATCATTAAATGTCATTAAATATTAACGACAGTGTTACAAATTATGAGTAATGGCACTTTTAATGAGACATTTTAAAAACAAATACAGTTTGTTCTACTGGAAAAGTGATCAGAAAAATATTTATGACACAATCATAATGCCTTATGACAATCATGTTAAGCTTTGTTGTCTTGGTAAAATGATGACTGGTTGTGATGTATTGGTTTATGTTATGCTGTCATTACAAACAATGTCATCTTTGCTTTTAAAATGTCATAACTGAGCAAATGACAGTTATTAACTGCTGTCATAAGCATGCATAAAATCTCAATGTCATGACATGATTAAAAAGGTTTTACACCCCTTCAACTCAGTGCTTCAGTGAGTAAGTTTACATGGAAGCCAATAATCTGATTTTAATGTGATTAAGACAATACTCTGATTAAGAGACTATATTGAAAACAGAGATTTTTGATTAATTTAATTAGATTAAGCTCATAAAAGAACTAAACCAAAATCCAATTAAGACATATGGAGTATTAAGATTTTAGTCTCGTTATTAAAGAGCAGTACAGACATGTAAACACCACGATCAAACTATTACCGCAGTGTTTTGTGTCAGGATAGTCCACACACACACGGCTGTTTGACACCTACCAAGTCACTAAAAACCACAGACATATACACTGCGTGGGTTTTTTTCTCCCATTCAGAGCGCAGTTTGAAATTCCGTAAAAACTACACTCTTCCAGCAGTTCATACTCTCATCCAGTATCTCGTTTGTCACGAGAGGCATACATGAAATATTCCTAAATGAAAGTTAAAGTACAAAACTGCAGTTTAAGTCCACAAAATAAAAATGAAATACCCGAAATTACATGAAACTACGGAGGAAATGAGGATAGCGTGCTGACGCAATGACATTAATAGTATTATGCGCTAAAACATAAAAAAAACGAGATCGTGAAAGAAACATTCAAAAAGCAACTCATATAAACACCTTAATCATATCATTGCCTTATTCAGATTAAGGCAAATGATTCGATTACTAATGTCCATGTAAACGTAGTCAGTGTTACCAGCTTTTTTTTTAATTTGATAAGAAAAAACTTGCATAACCTACAGTTGAAAATAATTTACCAAAAAAAAAAAAAAGTCTCATGATTTTTTTTAAACAGATCATTACTGGACAAACCAGCAGACCGACCTGATTGTAAATTATCTAAAATATTGTTTTGGTCATTTAAAAAAAAACTGAGTTAATTAATTATCATTAAAATGTCCAAACGCCAAAATTGCCCAAAGTCCATCATTAAAAAGGTTTGGTCTTGAGCATCTGTGCTCCCAAAGAGTGGTCTCACGCCTCCAAAAGCCACCGCATGTTCATTGTGTTTCATCTTCATCTTCTGAGGCTTTAGCAATTTATTATATAAAAAAGGCTCACAGTGGCTTCTCTTACCTCAGGCAATGTCATATTTCTTTTTGATATTTGGCAACAGTTTATCAGAAAGTGTTGAGTTTGTTCTCTTTAACTCAACAGATGGAAACGGTGCTTGACTTGCAAATATTTTAAGCAATATTTCAGATTTGTCTCATTTACATATTTGGATGGAAAGATATTAAAAACATTTAAATAATTGTATCAATTGGTATGTCATGACTGGTTTTGAAACACATGCGTTGTTTAAAATCACTGAAGCCAAATCCAATGCTGCAGTTCTTGTCACTCTGGCGTATGCTGAAGTGCAAATAAGGTCTGAGAAATCGACAGAACGCTTACAGACTGGCCTACATACCTCTGAAAACTGTGCTAAAAACATCAGCTAATATTGTGACAATCATAAACTGCTGTGCTCATAAACTTGGTGAACTGTGGATTGAGAGAGCCGAATCATACTGTGTAGTCAATATGAGAAATCTATAGTGCTGCATGAATGATGGCGGTACCAGTCGGAGAGAGGTGAATTATTAAGAGATGCCCAATAATGGAAACCGAGCCATCAATCTCCTTTGTGTGCTTCATATTAAACCCACTGACCTCATTATTTTTAGGAGAAAGTCTGAAAGATGCTTTTGTTGTTGTTAAACAGGTGATTTCGGTTACTAAACTTTTACCGTAAATGTGCTGATACTACTTCAACTGCTCATAATATGCTCTTTTTTTAAAGATTTATTGACTATGGGCATTAAAACCATAAAAATATTGTGATAAGTTTATCTAGATATTATCCCTCTATTTACAGTATAAATCTGTATATCATTCAAATAACTCTCTCAACCATCTATACATTTGTCTACATCCAACCATCTATATCTGATAAGTTCAGATGCAAAAACCTCTAAAAAAAAAGTGTAATTTAAAATTTTATTCGAACATTAGAATTTTTCTCAGATTTTTCTCTTGTGTGTACTTTCAGTCATTTTAGTTTTGCATGGCAATTATTAGGTAATTTTTATTGATTTCATAAACAGTATGCAAAAAAAAAAAAAAATGAAGCGAAAACAACTGTCATTAAAAATGATTACTGATGATCATT